TTGAAACTAGGTTTGCCTATTGCCAAAAACACAACTGTTCAATAGTGTTCTTATTAAGAGCTAATAATTGGAAACAAGTAAATAGCAGCTAAATTTCTAGATTAACACCAAACTATTTTTGAGCCACACCAGTTGATATAAAGTTTAAACTCATACAATGTTTCCAGTCTTACAGTTGAATAGTAGAATGGGTGGATGTAAATGTCATCATTTTGGCAATCAATCAAACTATTAAGGTCTGCTTAAAAGGCCAAACTTTTTCTGTTATGCTGAATGGGGTGGTGATCTATTCTAGTGTGTGTGTAGGGGGGGGGACAGGGGTGATGGACAGAAAAAGGTGTTCCTTAGAGTTTAAGAAAATAATAATTTTCTTCTTTCAAATCAGGGTGTGGTGTGCTTTTGTTCTCTTTATTGCAATGTAACCGAAGACGCAAAACTTTTTAAAACTGTATTTTTCTTTCCAGAATGTGATGTTGGCAGGGAAAATTGACAATGAAAGGGAAATAAGTTTGTCCCCTTCCCTCCCCCAAGACACAGATTTATTTTGCAGTTGCAAGGTCACAAAAACAGACTATTGTGTCTAATCTGACACAAGCTACCCATTCTAAAAGTAGCTGACAAGAAAGGATGAAAAATGCCTTGAGGATCCTAGTCATATTCTACATTTTTAAAATGGCAGCTTGACACAAAACACTCAACAACGTATTGGCATAAGAGACAGAGATGTTAGAAATATTATTATAAAGTTTTTGTTTAAGACCTGTGAATTTTCAGACCTGTACAAAGAAAACTGATAAGAAAAACATTGGTATTTGAAAAAAAATGAAAATTTACCATTTGTGCTATTTGCCTTCAAATAATCTAACCAAACTATGCAAAATACAAAAAAGAAGTCAATATCTTGAAATATTGAATAGAGACATAAGACAAGATGAGAGGATTGCGGATGCAATGAATGAATATTGAGGGCATCAAGCTATTCTCTGAGGGCATCAAACTATTCTCCAAAGCACCAGAAGGCAGGATAAGAAACAATGGTTGGAAACTGATCAAGGAGAGAAGCAACCTGGAATTAAGGAGAAACTTCCTAACAGTGAGGACAATTAACCAGTAGAACAACTTGCCTTCAGAAATCGTGGGCACTCCATCACTGGAGGTTTTTAAGAAGAGACTGGATAGTCACTTGTCTGAGATGGTATAGGTTCTCCTGCTCGAGCAGGGGGCTGGACTAGAAGACCTCCAAGGTCCCCTCCAACTATTCTATTCTATTCTATTCTATTCTATTCTATTCTATTCTATTCTATTCTATTCTATTCTATTCTATTCTATTCTATTCTATTCTATTCCAAAAGGGACTTGTAAGTTAAGAGCTTTTACAGTTGATTTGGTGTTGGTTCTGGAAGATTATTTAAAAGGAAATGAAATATTAATGGGTAAATTAAAATGATTTGGTTCACTAGCAGGTTTTAAGACTGATAAATAGAAGACAAAGATGTTAACAAAAATATGAAACAAAATTGATGAATAAAATGGCTTTTCAGATTGAAAAAAGTAGACTATTCGGTTTTATCGTTACAAATATAAACTATGTTATTTCAAAATAATTATGTTAAGACATGAAATGGTAAGCTAACATAAATGGTTAACTTATCATGATAAACTAGATTTTTTTAAAGTTAAAAAAAAGGTAAAGGAGTTCCTGTGGATTTTACTCTGCTAGTTGTTGCCGACTATAGGGGGACAGTGCTCATGTACATTTCAAGGTCATTGAGCCAGCTGTCCGAAGACATCTTTGCAGTCCTCTGGTGAGCATGATGTCACAGAGTGCTGTTACTTTCCCACCCAAGTGGCACCTATTTATCTACTTGCATTTGTATCCTTTTGACCTGCTAGGTTCACAGGAGCTGGGATGAGGAGGGGAGCTCACCCTGTTGCATGGAGCTTGGGTCTCTAACCTGGGCTGTCAGCTTTCTTGTTGAAAAGTCCAGCTGCAGCTGCCAAAAAGGCCAACACAGTGCTAGGCTGCATTAACAAAGGGATAGAATCAAGATCACATGAAGTATTAATATCACTTTACAATGCCTTGGTAAGGCCACACTTGGAATACTGCATCCAGTTTTGGTCACCAAGATGTAAAAAAGATGTTGAGACTCTAGAAAGAATACAGAGAAGAGCAACAAAGATGATTAGGAGACTGGAGGCTAAAGTTTATAAGGAAAGGCTGCTGGAATTGGGTATGTCCAGTTTAATGAAGAGAAGGAAGAGGGGGGACATGATAGCAGTGTTCCAATATCTCAGGGGCTGCCACAAAGAAGAGGGAGTCAAGCTATTTTCCAAAGCGCCTGAAGGCAGGACAAGAAGCAATGGATGGAAACTAATTAAGGAGAGAAGCAAGAACTAGAACTAAGGAGAAACTTCCTGACAGTTAGAAAATTAACCAGTGGAACAACCTGCCTCCAGAAGTGGTGAATGCTCCAATGCTGGAAGTCTTTAAGAAGAGACTGGACAGCCATTTGTCTGAAATGGTATAGGGTTTCCTGCCTGAGCAGGGGGTTGGACTAGATGACCTCCAAGGTACCTTCCATCATCATCATCATCATCATCATCACCACCACCACCACCACCACCACCACCACCACCACCACCACCACCATTATTATTATTATTATTATTATTATTATTATTATTATTATTATTATTATTATTATCTTAACCACTGAGATACCCGCCCTTTTTTTTTAAAGATTTAAAGTTTTTTTAAGGGAAATATAAAATTAAGAAATTATATGATAATGGAAGGATATACTTGTTAATACTTTTTTTATATACAAATATCAGAAAGGTTTAAAGTAGCTAAAAGATTTAATGGTTTTGAACAATGTAAAACTGAGCTTGAAACAGATGATGTATTGCCAAAATGCAATACATTTTTCTTGAAATTTGAAACAGAAGAACAAGTGAAAGATTGCATAATATGGGCTAAATATTGGGTTACAATATATTTTACAAATAGAACAATGCAAAAATATTTGGTTGATGGGACTGAAATTTACATTATAAATAAATATAATTTTCATAAAATGATGTACTGTTGGTATATGTCAACGGAGAAATTGTCTAGAACGTATAAAGATACTTTACATTTATACTTGAAATGTGAACAACATAAAGGGACATTTATCATGTTTGACAGATGTGTAAAAAAGTCAGAACATTTTGGATACACTTACACTTAATTCAGAAGATGTTAAAGACTAGCATGTAATTGAAACCAGAAGCTTTTCTTTTGGGACTAATAGAAAGACAGCTCAAAAAATGTCATGGACTTAGCTTTTATATATGAAAACTAGTGCAGGATTATTAGATTCTCAAAACTGAAAAGGTTTGGCATTGGAGGAATGGTTAGTGAAGAAGATGGAATTTGCAGAGATGCTAAACTAAACAAAAGACAATATCTCAATTTATTGTTGAATGGAGACCTCTTATAGATTTTTTTTTTGCATGAAACAAAAAGAATGAACTCATGATTTGTACATCTGACAATTAGAAGAAAAATTTAGATTATGAAAAAAGAGCTTTTCTTTTGTAACCGTAGAGCAATTCTATTTCCTGCAAAGAATACTGAAAGCTTTTTTCTATTTCTTTTTATTTTTTTTATTTTTCATTTTTGTCTTTTCTCTTTTCCTTTCTTCTTTTTCTTTACTACTACTACTACTACTACTACTACTACTACTACTACTACTACTACAGTTGGAAGAGGTCTTCTAGTCCAACCCCCTGTTCAGGCAGGAAACCCTATATCATTTCAGAGAAATGGTTGTCAAGTCTCTTCTTAAAAACTTCCAGTGTTGGCGTATTCATCGCTTCTGGAGGCAGGTTGTTCCACTTGTTAATTGTTCTAACTGTCAGGAAGTTTCTCTTTAGTTCTAGGTTGCTTCTCTCTTTGATTAGTTTCTATCCGTTGCTTCTTATCCTGCCTTCGGGTGTTTTGGAGAATAGCTTCACTCCCTTGTCTTTGTATGGCAACCCCTGAGATATTGGAACACTGGTATCATGTCACCCCTCGTCTTTCTCTTCATTAAACTAGACATACCCAATTCCAGCAACCGTTCTTTATAGAGTATGTTTTAGCCTCCAGTCCCCTAATCATTTTTGTTGCTCTTCTCTGTACTCTTTCTAGAGTCTCAACATCTTTTTTACATCTTTTTTAATATTAGTTTTTGTTAATTTTTAATCTTTAGGGACTACTTGAGCTTCAAATATTCTCTTCTATCAATATTCAGTTTTCTTATATTTATTTAACCAAATTCACTGCTATAGCAATTATTATCAGGGAAACATGCTGTAAGAACTCTGTTCAATGGGTTTTCATTGCAATCCTAAGTATATCTTACTGAAATCAATGAAGCATATTTTCTAGTGACTATTGGTTTCTGGATAAATAGCAAAACTCCTATATCTAAGTGGGAGTTGATAGTCTAAAATGTCAGCTGAATGTTTTTCTCAAGTATACAACATATATTTGAGCTATAGAGGTGATTAATAGAGACCATCCAATGCCTAAGCAAACAACTCTAATAAAATATTCTCTCTTCTCATCCAAAACGTAGAGTAAGCATCATAATTTTTACAATTGCTTTGCCCTATTACATGGCTCTTTTCAACATTATTTTTCTGAATCAATGATAATCACCACCTCAGTTTTTCCTCCTCCCTCCATAAAGTATTTCAAGCAACGTATTCTCCTAGACAAATTCCTGGCAAGTTGTCTCTCCAACAATTCTTACAGATGCAGAATTCCAGATTTTTGGCTTACGTGGAGGATCATCCTTCCTCCCCATCCTGAGACAGATTTCATTGCAATGCCTCAGTAAGCTCTTTTTCATGACAAGCTGTCCCTCACCCAATTCACCTCAGCCTCCTCACTGCTTCTTCTGTCTCCTAAATTATTACTAAGTAAGATGGCAATTAGCTTTCAACAATTAAAATGATTTACTTACCGTATGTAACAGCTGGAGCATTTCCACATACCTGTGAAAAAGAGATGCAATTTTACTAAATGGCCAACCAGCTAGAGCTGAATGAATCAAAGTGGAATGCACTACTTCTTTTCTAAGAATTTTTAAAAGCTGATAGACTCACACTTTTTCTGATGACACAAGCTCCTGGGCGACAAGTTGAGCTCTGGATTGCCCTTCTTTCTGTTAAAAGCAAAACAAAGGAGGGTAAAGATCTGCAAACAGTTTGGATTCTTATATTATTATTAATATTAGTTGTCATATAATATAGATTTTAGGTGGTATAAAGGTATAAAACCAAAATACAACACAATATAATTTACCGTCCTGAATTCTAACATGTTCTGCTGAGATCTTTTCCAGGGCCACTCATCAAAGAAAGTAAGGTTTATGGTAGCCTAAGAAAAGCAGTCTTTTCTAGGGGCATCACATCCATGCAATAACTTCTTCAGAGAGGGTCTCCTACCACCTTTGGTCTCATTTTTTTTTTAAAGATAGAGACAGAGCTCCTGAAAGCATCTGCTAACTATTCCCCATGGCCATGAAAGTAAGAGAAACAGAGATCTTTTTTTTTTATTGTAGCACCAGCATTATAAGCCCTTACCTTATTAGGTTTTAGAAAATTATTCAAAACAAAATTATTTAAGAGAGACTTTGATTATTAATTGATCCCAATTCTTTTTTTCTTTTTTAGTTTTTATTTAGTTGCTTCAAGGATTTTTATTTGATTTTTTTAAACCTTATATTTTTTCTAATTGCTTAGTTATTATTTTTTTTTTAAATCATGGATGTTTTAATAGCATGACTATAATCTGCTAACCTGGGGGCATCCATGGAATGGGAATAAAAAAGTTAAGGTGGTGGGCGCAGCAAGGTGTTAAAATGGGGGAGGCCTTAGATTTGTAGCCATACCTAATATTTTGGGGGGAGGGGTTTCTTCCCTTTTCTGGACCCTCCCACTGCCCATATTTATGAATGTCCCAGGGTCATATAATCATCTTTTGTGACCTTCTGACAAAGACAATAAGGAAGCCAGATTCACTTAACAACTGTGTTATTAACTTAGCAACTGCAGTGATTCACTTAACAGCTGTCACAAGAAAGATTGTAAAAATTTACTTAACAACTGTATCATTAGCAACAGAAACTTTGGGTTCCATTGTGATAATAAAGTCAAGGATTACCTGTATTCCCATGTAATGCTTGAGTATATAGTGTGAAACAGGGAGAAAGCAGAACTATTTAACTTGTTTTTCACATCTGTCTTTACACAAAGGGAAAAAACAGACCAACAAAAATAGTGCCATAAAAAACAAAATAGAAATACAAGTTAAGATAGGCAAGAAAATGGTAAGTGAACACCTGTCCAGCCTAGACGAGTTCAAATCACCAGGACCAGATGGATTACACCCCAAGGTTCTTAAGGAACTGGCAGATGTGATCTCTGAACCACTGAACTATATTTTTCAAAAATCCTGCAGCACTGGGGAACTATCAGAGGATTGGAAAAGAGCTGATGTAGTTCCCATCTTCAAAAAAGGAAAAAAAAAGGATCCAGGAAATTACAGACCTATCAGCCTGACCTCAATACCTGGAAAGATTCTGGAAAAGACAATCAAACAACGAAACAGCGAACATCTACAGGCAAACAAAGTCATTACTAAAAGCCAACACAGGTTTGTCAAAACCAGACAAATCTTTTTTTTTTTTTTTTTTATTAAAAGTTTTATAAATTTTACAAAAAAAAACAAGAACAATACAGAACAAAAAACAACATATACAAAAGAAAAAAAAAATTAAACAATACATATAAAAAAAACCCCCCACCCCACACCCCTCCCAAAAACCCTCCCTTCCCCCCCCCTGAGCTTCCCAGAGCAGAATATAGGCTTAAGAAATAATAATAAAAAAATTAAATAAATAAAAATAAAAATTAAATTAAAAACTTTATATTTATATATATAAAAAAGATATCTATAATATATATAAAAATAAAACTTATGAAAAAGCTATATAATATTTTTGTATACCCAATCTAAATTGTATAAATTTTATCCATTTGTCCCAGATAGCAAAAAACTTCTCTTGCGTTTGTTGCTTTAAGAAAGCCGAAATCTTTGCCATTTCTGCCAGATAAGCTACTTTAAAAAACCATTCCTGCAATGTAGGCAAAGATTCCTTCTTCCAATATTGTCCAATTAACAGCCTCGCGGCTGTGATCAAGTTTAACATCAATACAACCTCCTTTGTATCACAATCTGTAACAATACCTAACAAAAATAATTGCGGAGTAAATTTTACCCTCCTTCTAAAAATTCTCTGGATATTCCACCATATTTTGATCCAAAATGCTTTTATCTCTCTACATGACCACCAAATATGATAATAGGAAGCCTCCTTATAACCACATCTCCAACATTTAGGTTGCACGTCAGGGTACATGTAAGACATTTTTTGTGGATCAAGGTGCCATCTATAAAACATTTTATAAAAATTCTCCCTTAGATTCTGTGCTTGAGTAAATTTGACATTTCTCACCCAAATAGTTTCCCAGGTGTCCAATGAAACTGGCTCACCAAAGTTCTGCGCCCATCTAATCATACAATCTTTAATTAGTTCCGTTTCTGAGTCCAATTCAACTAAAACCCCATAAATTCTCTTAATGTGGGTTTGTCTTTGATCCTTCAGTTGCTTAATAAGATTTTCATCTTCTCTAAGAAAACCCACCTTACAATCCATCTTCCATCTATCTAGTAGTTGCCTATATTGGAACCAAGAATAAGTAAAATTTTCTTGTGCTAATTCTTCCCGTGATTTTAATTGCCAGTTTTGTCCATCCCATTTAAGTAACTGTCTGTAAGACACCATATCCATTTTAACCCCTCTTTTTATTCCTTCTATCGCATGCCAAGGTATAGCCCATAATGGTACTTTAAAATCACTTTTATAATATTTTCTCCAAATCCTAAGTAAAGAAATTCTTAAAATATGAGATTTAAAAGCCCAATCTATTTTTTTATTAAATATTAAATAGGCATGCCACCCATAAAGTAAATCCCATCCCTCTAGATAAAGTATCTCAGAATTTGTCAAATTTACCCAGTCACTAATTAATGTTAAAACCACCGCATCATAATATAATTTCAAATTTGGTACCTTGAGTCCGCCCCTCTCACGGAAGTCTTGCATAATTTTGAACTTAACCCTTGGTTTTTTCCCTGCCCAAATAAATTTATTGAGACCCTTCTGCCACTCATTTAAATTAATCTCATTTTTCAAAATTGGTAACATTTGAAACAAAAAAAGAAACTTGGGTAGAATATTCATTTTTATCACTGCAATTCTTCCCATGAGGGATAATTGCAGCTTTTCCCAATTCTTCAAGTCTTTCTGTACCCCGACCCACAACCTTTCATAATTATTTTTAAATAGTTTTGCATTAGAAACAGACAGCATCACCCCCAAATATTTTACCTTATTAACAATCTCAAAACCCGTCGAGTTAACCAAAATCTGCTTCTCCTGACTCGACAAATTTTTAGGTAAAATTTTAGTCTTATTTACATTAATCTTAAAACCCGAGACCAAACCATAATGGTGAATCAACTGTAATAAGTTTACTACAGAATAATCAGGTTGCGACAAAGTAACAACCAAGTCATCCGCAAAAGCTCTCAACTTATATTCTTTTTTATTAACATATATTCCTTTAATTTCCTGAGACTCTCGAATTTTAATCAATAATATTTCCAATGTTAAAACAAACAACAATGGCGATAAAGGACACCCCTGTCTAGTACCTTTCTCTATTGTGAAAACCTCCGACAAACCTCCATTAACAATAAGTTGTGCTGTTTGTTTTTGATATATTACCTTAAGGGCTTGTAATATGTTTTCACCAAAATTCATTTCTTCCATTACTCTTAGCATAAAATGCCAATTCAGTTGGTCAAATGCTTTTTCAGCATCTAAAAATATGAGCCCTGCAGGAACTTGGTTGTTCTTATCTAAGTATTCTAATAAGTTAATAATTTGTCTAACATTGTTTTTCATATACCTTCCTGTTATAAACCCTGATTGATCTTTATGCACAAGATGATGCACCACCCTCATAAGCCTATTTACCAAAATTTTTACAAATATCTTATAATCCACGTTTAAAAGAGATATAGGCCTATAGTTTTTTGGTAAAGTAAGATCTTGATCCTCCTTTGGAATCAATGATATAAAAGCACTACGCCATGAAGGAGGAATCTCTAAACCCTGTAAGATACCATTAAAAAGATCATTTAATGGTTGAATCATCTCCTCCATTAAAGCTTTATAATAAACAGCTGTTAACCCATCCGTACCCGGTGCTTTCCCTAATTTCAATTGTTGAATTGCTGAGGCGATTTCCTCCTTAGTAATTAAACCATTAATTTCATATTTCTGATCCTCAGTCAGTTTAGGAAAACTTGCCTCAGCTAAATATTTATTTATATCTAACAGTTGTACATTAGTAGATTTGTATAGGTTTTGATAATAATCCAAAAAAGATTTTTTAATTAATTCCTTCTGAGAAACTAGTTTACCCTTATAATTTATTTTCTCTATTATTCTCAGTCTCTGTTTCTTTCTTAATTGATAAGCCAACCATCTCCCCGGCTTATTAGCATTACAAAATGTATTTTGTTTCATAAATAATAAATTGGTTGCAGCTTGATCTGCTATCAACATATTAAATTGTGACCTTAATAACTTTACAGATTCTTTAGTACTTTCATCAGAAGGATTTAGAATCAAAGCCCTTTCTTTTAGTTTAATTTCATCTTCAAGTTCTCTACGTTTCTGAGTCTGATTTCGCTTATAAAAATTATTCATTTTTATCAAAACACCGCGCATAAATGCTTTACCTGCATCCCATACCATTGACATTGAAGTCCCCTTATACATATTCAAAGCAAAATAGTCCTTTAAACACTCCTTTAGTTTTTGAACATTCTTCTCTTGTCTAAACAAATTTTCATTAACTCTCCAGGATCTTCTTTCCTCTTTCTCTTGAATCAACTCCATCCAAACTGGACTATGATCCGTCAGTGATCTAGGAAAAATCTTTACATTCTTTACTTTATTATACAAATCCGTGGTAATCAAGAAAAAGTCAATTCTTGAAAAAGATTGGTGTCTGTCAGAAAAAAAAG